ATGCAGTTAACTTCCTGAAGCAACTTCGCCAGATGACTTGACTTGCACATGTTGTTGCAGCAACAAACTCTGCTTCTGTGGTGGATAAAGTTACAACAGGCTGCTTCAAGCATATTAGTGGTCTAAAGCAAAAAATTAAATGAGGCCTTAAACTTGAATCATCATTAACTTTGTATAATTGGTTTCTTCTAGTTTTAAATTGATAATATAACCACTCTTATTTTAAATTATTTTTCATGAGATATAGTACTTTAAATATGTCAAATTTCTTCTATAATTCCTTCATTTTTCATGAAAAAATATTTTTTCTACAAATAGTATTCAATATTTGTTAAAAAATAATAACTTAATACCTATTATTATGAAAAAGGGTAACTTTCACGTATAACAAACAAAAAAATTATATTTGTATGCTACAACAAAGTTTGCATAAGACGCTCCATAGCAAACATATAAATGTATAATTCTTTATACATATACAATTGTATAATTCGTTGGCCTATTTCGCTGCAATTGTATAATTCGCTGGCCTATTTCATTGAATATCTATATACAATTTACATTTATATACAATTGAATCGAAGTAAAATGTTTGTATATTATATAATTATAAGTGTATAGGAAGAAAATATATGTTTTTGCTTGTGTGTATACCATTTTCTCTCGCTTTATACAAAACGAAAACACAATTAATACACTTCTGTTGTATACAGCTACAGAAAATTGCATTTCGCTGCAATTGTATAATTCGCTGGCCTATTGTGCTGCAATATCTGTATAAAATTTGCATTTGTATACAATTAAATCGAAGTAAAATATTTGTATATTATATAATTAAGTGTATAGCACGAAGATATATGTTTTTGCATGTGTACATACAATTTTCTCTCGCTTTATACAAAACAGAAATGCAATTTATACACGTCTGTTCTATAAAGCGAGAGAGGAGAGCAGAGGGAGAGTGGCGAGCGAGAATAGAAGAGTGGTGAGCGAGAGTTTAGAGAGAGAGGCGACTGACAAACGTTTGCTATGAGACACAATTAAATCAAGCAGTAGTTACTCCATCTTTATTTTAGATTATTAGTTTGCTATTCTGTACAATTATGACTTATAAAAATGAGGTCTCTCAAATTTTTGGGCATAAGACATGTTCTTTTGTTAACACTGTCGAGTCACCCGTGCTTGTGCATATCACTTGCCAATACAAATGTGGTTGTGACATTTTAAGAGGGTTAAAATTTCCATTGTAAATAGTTTAGGATGATGATAACACTCCCTTAAGAATAAGCGTATAGTTGAGAAATCGATCATAACTTAAGGGGGCATTTGACCATTTTCTCTTTAATAACCCGTTGAAAAAAAAAGTGACTAGTTGCCCAATTTTCCGGACCATTGCGTGCCGATCCGAATCCGCCCGTTTCTCTATTACCCGAGCTGAGGGGCAGACAAATTGGGTGCTACGAGTATACTAATAATACAAACAGAAAAATGTGGAAAGACAGAGGACCAGGAGTGAAGATCCTATGGCTTTGGGCTATTGGAACTGCTGGAAGTATACCCTTCCTTCTTTTTCTTCATCATTTTTTGAGTTTACCTTTTTCCCCAAAACTTCAGTTTCTTCCTTTTTGCAGTTCTAGTAACAAGCGTAGTGAGGACCAGACTGCGGGATATGGAGGAGTTTATGAACGCTCAGCAACAAACGCCTGGGCCTATTGATTCACCTGCAATAAGCGACAATGATGATCATCAATCATTGAATTCCGAGGATTTCATTCGGGAGGACAGAGGGTGAATAATAGTCTTGTATGCTATGTGTTTGATGAATTGTCTGAATGGTGATTTTAGTTATTCCTTTACAGAATTTGGAATTATTCGACTCTTTTCTGGTTTTTCCTTTTAAAGTTTTTAATCAATTTGCAAGGTTCATCATATGTTTGAAAGCATAATTTCATACATATACCCTTTTAATGGTATCCGTGCGCTCAAACTTTGAGTTTGCACGAGTAGATATTTAAACTTGTATAAAATTAAATAAATAGACATATTTGTCATACATGGCGTCGTATATGACAATTTTGTGTGGTGTCCTACGTGTATTACGTCACGTAGAACGTGTGTTTATATTTGTTTAATTTTACATTAGTTTGAGCGTTTATTTGTGTACATTTCAAAGTTGAAGATCACATATGCAAACTGAAGCTAAGTCAAAGAGCATATTTATGTACTATGTCTTGTTTAAATGTTGTATAAAGTAGAACAACTAAATTCGTTGATTTCCTTAATTGAGAAGTTATACCCGGTCAAAGGGATCTTTCTTCATATTTAGCAAATCATTCATCTGCTGGTGTAGTTTTTGAAGCTAGGGGTCGTTTGGTAGCTGGCCTGGAGGTGAGTTATGCATGTATTAAATTCTGCTAAGTAATACTAGCATGTTTGGGACTTGGTTAAGAGGTAAGCTATTCATGTATAACTTCATCAAACTCAGTAACCAGACTCTTCTTCCCATGCAATGGAATTCTATTTTTTTGAAACTGGTAACTTTAGCCCATGCTATGGAATATATTGACATTCTTCGGAGTTACTGAAAATGAGGTTGATTGTTCACTACTCTCGGTAGGAGGATCTTGTATCAGGTAAGAAACCAAAAAGGAGGATCTCATATCAAGCTTTATGCTCTGCAGATTTGTTTCCAGAGAAACTGGAATGTCTAAACCAACTAGTAGCTTAGAGCTGTCCATCATTGTCTTACCATGAGTTCTATGCTCTGCACGAGTTGTGGCCTCATTCTATCATACAACATGTTCTTGTCATATACATGTTGAGGCTTCATTGAGTCGCCATCAATGAGACTTCACTTGACTTTTGATAGAGTGGATCAGAGAACACAATAAAGCTATAAAAATGCTTTCTTGCGATTGTTACCTCTGCTTAATATACAATGGCGTTACTCTGCATTTCTTTAGTATCATAGATCTGAAATAGTAGATAATCTACTTATGACTTGTTTAATTTGTTTCTGCTGTTGACTTCTGGGCTTGTTTATACCTCCTTCATTTTAGAGATTTCGGGTAGGTGGCTAATCTACTTAGCGAACTTGTTTCTAATACAACTTGCCCTCGATCAGGTTTTGATCTAGTGGTGAGAGCACAACGCATGATGTTTTTCGAACCCTATCACATACAATAGCCTAGTATTAAGTTGAGAAGGGTAGACGGGCGGGCCAAAATTGTGAACAACTGGCTCTTCAAGATTTCTTAGTTATTAGGGGTCGTTCGGTAGAGTGTATCAAAGAAAATAATGCTTGCATTGACTAGATGTATTAGTACTACCTTGTTTGGTACACTTTTCCAACCTATGCATAACTAATGCTTGTATTAGTATTGAAGAGTGTATTACTAATACCCTCTATTTCTATGCATTAGTAATGCAATGGGTTCTAATTCATGCATTAACATTATTAAAGATACAATTGCCCTTAAAAACTTTTTGACATCCTTTCCGCTATATTTATGAAGGGTATTTTTGTAAAAAAAAATTTTTTCTAAAAAAATTATGTAATGCGTAATATTTTTTAGTAATACCAAACAAAACGTTGCATATGAAAATTTCATCATAACTAATGCGCGCATAACTAATACAAGCATTAATAATACACTATATTTGCATTATTCTTATACACTCTACCAAACGACTCCAAGTATAGCGTGATTTCTAATATGACTTCTCTGTTTGTGTTTGTGTTTTCTGTATTATGGAAGATACTCCAATGTTTAAGTCATCATATTAACACTTGACCAAGAACTCAAAATGCAGTGCTAGTAACTCACAACACTATAGGAGCTACAAGTGGAAAATATGGAGGTAGTTACTCTAGAATGCTCTAAGCATATGCAACAACTCAATGCCCACGTGATGTGGTTATTGGTTTAGTATATTTTAATAAAATCGATAAATCTAATAAATAATACAGAAAATTTAACTGAACCGAACCGGTTGATGTGTATGCATATGTCAATATCCCCTTCTAAACCTGATGATTTTGAAATTCATGGTATTGAACTTCTAATTAGATTATTGCATGAACAGATTTTCAATATCAGAAGTCAAACGTGTTTGGTTCAACACTGAATATATGAATGAAGAGATGAGTAGAGCATGTTCAGCGCAAGCTAGTTAATTATGCATTTTACTTACTACTTTATATAATTATTTAATATTAAGGCTAGAAAGAATGTAATATAATAAGTTATCTTTTCTTAATTAAAAAGTAAAATAAAATATCTATTTTTTAATCGAATAAAATTACCTAAAAAACTATATTGATCTGAATTACCAGCAGGTAATTTAGCACATTACGATTAGGATTTAGGGGATGGACCTATTATTTATTTTTTAAAATATGAGGGTAGGGCGAAGGGAGGATGAGGTACGGGATCACAGTCTTAATATATTTTAAAAAATAGAAAATGTTATAAATACATTGAATCAAGTGGATTGTCCATTAAGCTTATCATAGATTTATCCTTATTATGGATATGTATTTTTAAGGTGATATGAACCTTTTTGGGATAGAAATGTATCTGTAACATTAAACATGGTGACCTTTTGGTTGATTTCTCTACCTATAAATAGAGATGTCATTCACCATTGTAATATACACTTGAATAAGAAGAAAATCTTCTCCTACATCTATTTCTCTTATCTTCTTTCTTTATACTTGTATTATTCTGAGCTTAGATTTTATAACAGAAAAGAAAATAAATTGGTAAATTGTATCTTGTTTTATTAAATTATATTTATTTTTGACCATTTAGATTTCTTGTCGGGACATAAAAGTACATACTTGAGGAATGATTCATTGGTTAACATTGAGATAAATTTTTGGATTCGACTTTTGAGCCTTTCAACAATTAACTAATTTTACCTTTCTAATATATATTACGTATTTTAATTGAACAAGAGAAGAAAAAAAGAGGAGATGTAATTTTTTCCTTCTTCGTACTTTTTATATATAATTTTTTTAAAAGCGTGTCAATATAAAACGAAGAAAGTAATTAGTATGGACCAATATCCCCCAAACCAAACTTCTTTTTTTAAATGTGACAATCAATATGAAACAGAGAAAGTAATTAGCATGGACCAAACTCATGGTCCATTGTTAACTTATCAATTAGGGAATCCCCACCCTGCCACCCTCTATTTGGGTAAAAATTGTTAATTACTACTTGCAAATTACACCACATTCCAGTGGTCAGGCAAATTTGGTCATCCTCATTGATATTTTAGATATAATATAATAGGTGAACAACTCATAATTTGATGTATTATTTTCAACATATTTTTCCTGTCCACTATTGATTTGACAACAATAATTAAGAAGCAGATGCATGATAGGTGTAATTTAACCATATCATCTTTATTAAAATATGTCATTTACACATTGAAAAATAAACAGTATTTAATAAATAGAATAAAATAGACACAAAATGAAATATTATTCATTAATTTTATAAATTAAACAAAAATTATTGGATATATAGAAAAAATATTTTATTTCAAAAATTTATTTTATTAATGTATTTACAAAGCCAAATATTAAATTGTTTTGAAATTATTATACTTCAAGAGTTGGAAAAATTGAAAGCAAAGTGTTAGACACTTAATTGTCTTCAAAGAAGACAAGTGTCCTTACACTTGGCAAATAACTTTTCATGCACTTTTACACTTGTCAAGGAAGGTAATTTGTTGGCATATAAATATATTTGTTAACATTGAAGAAAAATCTATACCAGGGTCGGATCCACATGATATCTGCCGGGTGCTCGAGCATTCATTAACTTCGGTACAAAATATATATATCTATGTACAAAAAGATAGGTATTTGTATAAAATTAACATAGAACATTCAATAAATAAATTATATAGATGGTCCAATGGTTCTACAAGTCTTACTTAAGACTCTTTTAATATTGTTGTACCAAAGTTCGAATCTCATTGTTAACACATATTTTTTATAGTTCCGCCACTGTCTATACTCCCTCACGTATTTATTAATTTATGCACTAATATTTATATATCTTCTTAATGATATTTATCTTATTTTTAGGACTATTATTTTGTTAAATAATAAATTTTATTCTTATTATCATTGTGAAATTTCTAATATTTCTCCAACAGGATATTTAAAATGATATTGTGAACAAATAAAGATGGAGAGGAAGAATATTTTTGAGAATGATACAAAAATAATGCTCAAGGTAATTATCTTAATCTTTTATGAATAACAAAATATGGCCTTAAACGAAATTTTAATTAGAGACTTAAAATTTAAATAATTATCATGTGTGTTCATTAAAAAAAAATATTTTTCTTACACTTTTTAAATGCAAATTGTTACTTGATTTTTTTAATAGATTCTCTTGTTTGGTCAAGTATTAGTTTTAAGTAAATTTTGTCAATATCTTTTTACTAAGACAGTCATCATTACTAAGACAGTCATCAGATGAATTGTTAACATAACTCTTTAGATAATAAATTAATAAATTTTATATAAGAGCAAGAGTTAAAATCGTTGAATATGATTTAAGAAATCGATAATGTGATCGTAACTACAATGCACTTGTTGTAATGCTTGAAGTAGATAATAATAGAAATATAATTTGTACTTCTGTTCAACATTTTTCGACTGTTAATTTATATTTTTAATATACTATTACTCTAACGAATCAAAAGTCCCAAGTAAGAAGAATAAAAAAGGAGTTACATAGGACTTTTATTAGCCAAAAAAATAAGGAAGCAAAACAATATTTTTTGATTTCTCCTATTTGAATAGGGTTAAAGAAAATAAAATGATATTTATTTATTTATTATTTTTAAAAAAATATTTTTATCATAGTAATTATTTTACTTATAAAAAATTAACATAAAATTTATTAAAATTTAAGACCCATTTTTTGTGGCCTAGGATATATGCCTTAGTTGGTATAACATAGAGACATGCAAGTAATTAAGCCATGCTAATTAGGGGTGGGACCTATATATATACTCTCCGAA